CCCTTCCTTGCTTCCTTGGCAAATGTTCATATGGATTTTGAAGACTTCGTATAAAAATTTTTAAGTATCTCATTAATAATTTTATATTGATTACATTTGAAGTGATAGTATTTAGATGCGTTGAGTTAAATAAAACATTTGATTACTTTCACCTGTTCCTTTTTTACACTTTTTAAAAAACGGTAGGACTAAGAGAGGGCAGGCCTATTAGCAAGTGGCTAATAGGAAAATTTAAACTTTCCAATGTGGCACACATTATATTTCTATTGAGCAGCTCCACTCTAGAAGAATGAAAACATGGGATGATATTTCCTACCTCCGTGCAATTTGATCTGAGAATATTTATCATGTGACCTCCCCAGGAAGGCACACAGAGCTGCTTCGCAGGTACCGTCTCTCCCTTTCTGCATCATTTAAGTGGGCACTGTAGGGGGGTTCACTGTGGAAACCTTGGTCCTATGATAATATGGAGAGGGTGTCAGGTGACAGCTGCAGAGCCTCTTGTTCAGCTCTCTTGAAGATTCCTTAGTTTTTGTGTCCTACTTCTTGAGAGACAATTGTAATTGTCCCCCTGACCCTCCCCCCTAAAAAACCCAAACAAAAACAAACCAAAAACAACTCAGGGCTGGCAATCAGATGAAATAAATGTTGCTTATTGTCATAGCCCCTCAGCCATCTTTGTTTTTCTTTCTTTTTGCAGAAAAAAAGCCATGTGAAATGTTTTGAGTGAAGTCTGATGTACAATATCTTCATTAGATTGAAAGAGAAGAAAAACCATTGGGTTAATGATAAGGTTTCTTCTAACTAGATTCATAAAACTGGGAAAGGTCTTGGGAATTGAATGGTCCCACCCGGATGCCCTGTCCTCAGAAAGTGAGGCTCTGAGAGGCTAATGGTCTTGCCTAGGGTAACAGACCAGCGAAGGTGGATGGGGCCTGGAACCTGGTCTCCTGATCCCCCTCTTCAACATGCAGCTGCCACACCACATTGCCCATTTTTCTCTGAGATGCTTTCTTCCCAGCTCCTCCCTCCCAAAGCAATCCCCTCCCACCCCCAGTTTGGTAGTTCATCCTCTTCTGCCTATCTCTCTGACCCAGTGTCTTCTCTTTAGCATAAGGGGTGGTAGAAATGGGAGTCAAAAAGATCTAGATAGGTTAAAGGATGGGTATAAATTAACAAGATAAAATGGAACTAAAAAAAAAGAGAGTTTGAATAGCTACTAACAAATGGAGCCAGGGAGACTTTCTTGGCCTCAACAGAGGTTCAAGTGAGAAGACGATATGTGTGTGTTTAGAGGAACATGGATTTGGACTCATAGGCTTAGGGCTTGAGGCCTCAGCATATGTCCTTGGAAAAACCTTAGTTTCTTCATCTTTATTAACCTCCCTGGGTTGTTGTGATGAGTAAATGAGACCACATTTTTGAAAGGACTTTGTGATCTGTGAAGCACCATAGCCATGGTAGTTATTGGCATTCACTAGGTGCTAGGAGATGTTGGCTGTGTTCACAGGATGAATGAGCAGGGTGACACAGTTGCCAAAGAAAGCCAATGTGACATCCAGAGGAAAGGATGCAACTCTGCCTCGTCCACCTGTTTCTGGGGCACTGTGCTGCGTTCGGTTCTGGGAATTGCATTTTGAGAGGGACTTTAGCAAACATGTTTTTTCCAGAGAAAGTTGCAAGAGTAAGTTAGGGTCCAAGAATCATGACATATAAGGGATGATTTAATGATTTAGAGGATGTTTAGTCTGGCGGAAAAATAAAAAATAAAGACTTAGGATGGGGTAGCTGTTTCCAAATATCTAAAAGCTGTCCTGCAGAAGAGAGGTGAGAATTTGTGTTGCTAGTGGCCAAGCCAGGGCTCAATAATGGGAGTTAATGGCAGGCAGATTTTGGTGCAATAGGAGCCTATCTAAGGCTCAGAGAACTGATCTCATTTGGGCTCCTGGGAAGGTAGTGGGCTGCCCATCAGCAGTCTTCAAGCAAGGTGACTGGGCACAGGGCAGATGCTGTGCTGGGGAGTCTTGCTTTGACTGAGAGGTTAGGCCAATTGTTCTCTGTGATCCCTCCAACTCAGAGACCATGATTATCTCCTGGTCTCTCTGGTCTTTCTGATCTACTTCCCTCACCATTTTTGCTGCCTTTGACTTTCTATTTCCTCTGTGAGCAGCATTAGGGTTTTAGATTTGGAAATATTTCTGTAATGATTGATAGTCTGGTTAAATGAAAAGTAGGAGGAGAGAACATTTAGGAACAAAGACAGTTTTATTACTCTTAGGGACACACAGTAACCTGTTAAGTTGGGGAAGAAGCAGGAACCTGGTCTGGTGTGTTAGAAAGTCCTGTAAATGCTACAGCAAATGGCTTATTCTTTGCTACTGTTTAACATGTAAGCACAACTGCTAAAGGCCTTTGTTCTCGAATGGACCAGCATCTTCCTTATTTATGCAATTCTTTTGTTAGCTACAGATTTCAAGAAAATTCTCCCTATAAGAATTTTATATCATAAACTACTTTCTGGATTCATAATTTAAGTGTTTTGCTGACTTGGTTATATGAAATTTGGTGTAGATGTTTTATTTATTTCTTGACTCCAGAAAAGCCATTTTCTTCAGGAAAATATTGTTCACGCATAGTTAGTGTTGCAGCTGGGAGGTCATAGGACAGTTGAATCTCCACAGTGGAGTGGGCAGTGGAGCTATTTCCAGTATTTTGTTCTGTTAGAGTAGCAATTATGCATCTGTCTCACAGTGCCCCACCTCAACATCCCAACACCCATTATTTCAGAAACCTCCACCTAGACAGAGGCACAAAATAGAACTCGGCAGGTCCAGGTGGAAGCGGGAGGGATTGGGTAGGAGTGAGTAACGTTTTTGGTTAGGTTCCCTGAGGCTGGAGTCCTTGCCCAGCCCTGAGGATGACAGTGGGGATGTGAAGACTAAGGGTTCAGGCCGTGAGTTCTGGGGCTTTTGGAATCTAGTGGGTCAATGGAGGCAGGAAGACCTGTAGAGACAGCAGCAATGGCTCTTCAAATCTTAGGGACTGGCCAGTGAGGCCAAGCCGGACAGAAAGGCAGGGGCTGAAAAGACAACAGGAGCCTGCAAGCAGTTGCAAAGCATCTGTGGCCTCATCCTCTGGGGCTGCTACCCCACTGCAAGCCCCAGTCCTTGCTGCAGCGATGTTGAACCCACATCTCCTCCACCTCCTTGCCTAGCCCCACCCAGGTATGACCTTGAAACTTTGGCTCAGGACAGCATCTGCCTGAGGCCAGATGATGGACTTGTTCCTGGGGGTCTACATTCTGGGGAGAGGAGCCAGACAACTCTGATGTGAAGTTCACGCCTTCACTTTCCATTTGCCCTTTCATTCCAAACCTGCTTCCTCTCCAGGTCTCTTCTGTCTCAGGGTGCTCATCTACAGGCTTCAGATTCTGAGTTGTTCTAAAGCCCTGGCTTCACTCTGTCCTTCAGAGTTCCTGCCCTCTAGCGTGGTGTGCTGCAGTGGCTCCCAGACTTTCATGAGCACACAGATTTATCTATAGCCCGGATCATAGACAGTCAGAATTCAGGGTCCCACTCTCAGGACTTCTGAGTGGGGCCCAGGCATCTGGACCTCAGAGGTTTCTGATGTAAGCAGTCCATGGGCCACACTTGGAGAAACACTAATTTAGAGAAGAGAGCATATTGGGGTAGGAGAGAGACAGAACTGAGTTACTTACTGTGTTACTTGTTGAGCAAGTTAATTACCATGTCTGAGACTTTGTTTTCTCACCTATAAAATGCTAACCACTTCATAGGAGAGTTTTCAGATGTCAGTGAGATGATAGATACATAATGTTTAGCAAGGGTTTATTTTATAGGAATTTTGGCTTCCTCTCACCCTCTTTTAACACCTGGAAAGTGGCAACAGAGACCTTCAATTCTTACCAGTCCTGGCATATCAGTGGAAGCTCCCTGGCAGTGGGCAAGTGTGGAAAGGTTACAGGGTAGTCTAGAGGAGCATCTGTGTCTCCAGTGCCTGTGGCTGATCAGACAATCTGGATTTCTCAAGCGATAGCATGAAACCACTAAGAAGTCAGAGGTCAGCAATCTGCTGTCATTTTTATTTGTAGTAAACCACAATCAGGACATACATATACACAGTACATTACAGAATAAGTCCACGGCACTCTGTGCAGGCAGACGGGCAGGCTGGAACAGGCAACCACCACCACAGAACAACATATCTGTGGGTGGGGGAGGCAGTGGAGGTGGACAAGCAAGGAGGGAAGGATCTGGACCCTGGCACTGTGCTAACTATTTACTGCCTCAGTCCCGGTTGGTAGAGCCTACATTTCTGGGCTGCAGTTAATGTGTTTTGGGACCTGTAGCTTCGACTTGTGCCCAGGGTCACCCCCAAACACTGAGGTTTAGCTAAGCTCCCTAAAAGGAAGCAGTGTTTTCCATTAGTGGGAATGAATTCTCTCCTAACACACTGGCAGTTAGAAAGGGTAAAATAGGTTTGATACATGGAAGGGAAAATACTTACACTTTAGGGATTGAGTGTGTCTATAGATGTGTGTGTGTGTGTGTGTGTGTGTGTGTGTGTGTGTGTGTGTGTATACCTAGGTGGAAGGCATATCAAAGAGTTTCCTTGTAGTGTGTTTTGTTCCATGTTGGCCCCCCAAATTAGTTGATTTCTGAGCATGGCCAATCCTCAAGAGGGAAGGTAGATCTTGGCTGAGGGTTGGCAGTAGCCTTCCTAGGTCAGCAGGGCTGGGGGAAGACCCAGGGGAACGAGAACCCTGCCCTCTCTCTGATGGCCTTAGTATTTGCCCCAGGTGAAGGCAAGGTCATTGAAGTGGGAAGGTCTTTAGAGCCTCCTTGTTTGGTAGAAAGAGAGGGCCCAGAAGGCTAAAGGACATGCCCAAGGCCATGTGGCTGAGACAGGACTGTAGCCCACTCCCCGTGTTGCTCTTGTTTCCCAGGCAGGGTTCTTCATCCCTCATACCATCATGGGATGTGGAATGGCTCCCTTCCTCAGCAGCCTCTAGGGAACATTTGTCAGACTTTTCCAAGATAGAGGGGTCTTACTTGTTTTCTGAAGAAAGAGAAAAGCATCCATCAGAACCCCCTTAGCTGGTGGCTTCTTGGAATTATGATTACTTGCTAACAATAACAACTTCTCTGTGATAGCTACCGAGCATTGAGGACGATGGTACAGAGAGGCACAAATGATTCTTCCCATTTTATGAAAGAGGGCAGCTGTGCTGTAAGCTGGGTCAGCAACTTGCTGTAGGATCCTCTTCTTTTCAGTTCACTCTCCTGCCTCTTGCTATCTAGAGAAGAAATAAATAATAAATAAAGTGTTGCATTTTTTGAAATCACCTCCTTTTCAGGTGACCTAGTCACTAGACACACTGCCTCTATCAAGACTGTAAGCCAGGGAAGGGAGTGTGTGTGTGTAGGGTGAGAGATTAAAAAACAAAAAGACCGTAAGCTACCTTGGTAGGTTTCCACAGATCAAAAAGGGCAATATCTGGAGCATTAGGCACTGTCCAAGTGTAGACATGGCTTACCCCTACCCAGGTGCCCGGGAGAATGGCTTTGGAGAAAATTATGTATGTGGTGACATAGGCACCAATGCTGAATGGCCACCATTCTTTATTCAACCATAATCATCAGAGCACAGACATTATACAATGCTGGCTACCAACTCTGTATGCAAGATTGGATTCAATGACATCTGAAGAAGGGCCTTTCCAACAGGAGGGGCCTATGATCCTGGCTCAATGGACTTTTCATGTTTATTGAAATAGTCTATCAGAAATTGTGACTCCAGTTGGGTTATACTTATGGGTTTTTGCTTACTTGTTCTGTTTTTGTTGATTTTACAGAAGCTAATCCCTCTTAACTTCCATGGCGTCTAGTCCCTTCTTGGTTCCTGATTCTGTTGTTACATGAAAACAAATATCCTTATGATCTGGATGTTCAACTATGTCACTTTGGGTTAAACTTCCTATCAGTTCTATACCCACACAGGTACTTTATGGCTGAGATGTGACTCAAAAGGTAATGAGAAAAAGAATAGTAGTAATGAACAGAGGGGTTTGAGTTAGACATTAAGGACAATTTGTTGAAGGGAGAAGTTGTGAGACACTTGAATACACCCTGAAATTAGGCTCTGGATACTGTCCTCTGATCTTTCTTGGGCCTTTTAAACACAGATTTGCCTGGAGTTAACAACGTGGGCAGATATTCTGATTTTATGTATGGCCATTCTAAAATAGAGTCATGGGGAGGAAAAAGAAGAAAAATAGCATGAGAATAAAAGAAGAAAAAGTGAAAGAAGCAGGAACTAGGGGTGAGTGGAAGTTGTGAAAAGCAGAATATGATGGGAAAAGATGAGAGGTAAGAGGATTGCATTGAGCCATGTTAAGTTAGGGGGCAGTGCCTGGCAAATAGACATTGTTAAATAACAAAATATATATTAATGAATAAGTGAATAATTGTATTAGTCCTCCTCTCCAGCCCCGTTGTACATGTAGGAAAACAGATATCATAGGACTTGCCCAGGTCCTTGTCAGGCCAGGAAGTGGAGTTGGTCCCATGTGAGAAGCAGGGATGTGCTGAGCAGAGGTTGAGGAATGCACTTCCGGACCTGATGCTGTGTGGGCAGGAAGTGCCTTGGGTCATGGTCTATGAACTCAGTAAGGAGACTGAGAACAAGCACCGACTGAGACCCCAATCTTCTCTGGCATTGCCTCCAGCAGCTGGGGCCAGAGCAACTGAGGCAGCAGAGCAGAGCATCACATCATCATGGGTCCTCCCATTTCTTCAACGGCTGGAGAAAAACCAAGTCCTAACCTAAACCTTCCCTTCGCCTCTGGGAAGCCATGTAAAACACCCACTGAGTTTGGAGGTTGGGTCGCTTCACTTCTCTTTGTTTCCTGAGTACAGTTCCCAAAAGTTTCTTCTTGGCCTCCAGAAAATGAAGTCTGGGAAAGGAAAGGAGTTCTCTCCACATCAATTGGAGGCAGGATCAATTTCCTGAAGATGACCTGCCTTTGAGAATATCCAACAGATTTCCATAAATGTCCTTAATTTTTCCTTTGTGGGGAGATGGGAACTCCCATTTATTTCATCTCTCTCTCTGCCCTAGACCCTGTTCACCAACATCTCAGAAGGGACATTGAAATTGGAGCCCTCTGAGATGTCAAGGAGGCTTCTGTCCTCAGATCCCATTTTATTCCTCTTATTGCTCCTCTGTGGTGATCCAAAGAGCTGAGAAAAGGAGCAGTGCCACCACGAAAGGGGCTCAACACATGCAAGTGAACTTGGTCTTTTGAATACTTATTTCCCCCCATCAGGAAGCTGTGCCACTTTTAATCACTGGAATGTAGGAGGGAACATTATGCTTCCTCGACTACTGCTACACACGGCTAAGGCACAGCAGTACAAGTAAGCCTCTCTGTTTCGAGGAGATAGAGAAAAGAAAAATCATGTTGCCTACACAAGGCAATGGGAGGGTGCAGAGACCCGGCCACCATCCCTCTCCTGGGAAGGCCTGCCAATAGCTCTTACATAAGCTCCAATGAGCTCATGTGTTTTCACACCCATCTGCAGATCCTGGGCATCAGGGCCAGGGGTTAGGTTGGAGGAAAGAGATCAGAAGAGACTGTGTTCTTTCAAAGAAGGGGTGCTCTGGAAAGAAAACAAGTTCCTACACTCAAGATGGTGAAAATAATTTTCATTTGACTAACACGGACGTTCATTGCTCATGGCAGCAACGTTAGGCAAAGAGAAGGTGATGCTTGGTCTATGGACGCCATGGTATGTGTAGGGGGCGGCTATAGGGTTAAGCTTCGGACTGACCTGTTGGCAAAGCCACAAATAAGTTCCAGCTTAGAGGGCACAGTCCTCTTAGCATAATTAGGCTTGACCTTATGATGCTCCCTAGATCTTATATGGGTAGCTAATGGGCTGTGGGAGATGCAGCAAGTGCTGCCAAAACAAATGAAACTCACAAGAACATTGTAACTATAATGACCACTACCTTGTTTACCTCTGGCTATAAAATAAAGGCTCAGCTTGCCGTCTGGATCTCTCTCTGTGGCCTCAGCCAGGCACAGGAAGATCCACCTAGATCCAGCTTATTCTCGTTGTCTGTCTTTTCTACATCCTTCGCCGCCCCCCCCACCCCCCCAGGCTCACCAAACCCTTGGCTGTGCGGGCCCAGCACATGAGCTTAACCCTATAGCCGCTCCCTACAGTATGGGGGAAGGGAGTGTGGGGTGGAATGTTTAATGAATCAAAGGTATGCAGATAGGCACTGAGGGGATGGTTAAGAAAGCTTTTCCTTCTTAATGTGTGGGAAGCTAGATGGGTGCTGGGTTAGGTTTGCCAGCCACAGCTGGGAATCAGGCCACGGTTGAGTATCAGGCCTTGATTTCCAGTTGTTGCCATCAGCTAGGCAGTTCTTGAATAGGAAACTCATTCCATTTATTGACTGAGACAGGATGAATATTCTGGAACCTGCTGTCTCATTTTACCTGCTTCCCTTTTGTTTGGCAGAATCACTGAGCCAGCAGACTTTTGCAAGCAAACTAACCAACATCTTGCCTATATCTTGTCCAGAACATCTGCAGTTTGCCTGCCCTGACCCCAGTAGCTAAGCACAGAGCAAGTGTAATAATACCCACTTCCCTTTCACTTTGCCTCCTGAAAATAAAATCTCATCCTGCATGAGGGAGCCAACGTCTCTCAACCAGGCTTCCCAGACATTCTCTTGGGGGTTGACACACTTCCAGTTCAGTTGTGTCCCAGTGGAGGGGGAGGATCTGTCTGTGCATCTCAGCTGCTTACCCCTCCCCCAGACTAGCTCCATATTCTTCACTTATGGAGGCAATGATGAGAATGTGTTTTAATCTGACTAAATGAATCTGCAGATATGATGTTTCACCTGTCCAAAATAATACTGTGCCCAATCTTTCTGTAACTGCTAATGCTTTAAACAATTTTTATTTAAAAAATAAGGAACACACAGTATTCAGGTAAATTTCTAACTCCTCCAAGTACTTTGCATTTTCTCTCCGGCATCATTCGTGCTTATAACACTTCCCAACTCAGTGTCTTCTGAGAATTTAGTTAATGTGCTGTTTACCTTTGTCTTTCCAGATCCATCAGGAACATTTTGAGTACAGCCAAACCTTCCTTAGAGTGATACCTGATTAACTTCTATTTGTGACAACTGGAGTCAGTCAGTTGGGAAATGACTGAGCTCATATACTCAACACTCTGACATCTTTCTCCAGCAACGTGGAGGACACACACAAGCTTTAACACTTAAAGGATCTCCCATGATGATGTATGTGCAATATTTTGGTGTGAGATGTCATGACATCTATAATTCACTTAAAATATTTTGATGAAAGAAAAGATAAAACAAATATGGCAAAATGATAAGAACTGTTGACTCTAAGTGACAGATATGTGGGTTCTCATTATACTCACGGCTCTGCTTTTCCATATGTTTGAATATTTTCATAATAAAAAGAAATGATTACCAGATGTTCTAATTCCAGGAAGTGTATTTAACTGGGGATAGGGGAGCTTCAGGAGGCTGATAGGGAGTGGATGAAGGTGGAAATTGCTTCATCCTCTTAGGTTTATGATCATTTCCTTAATGCCTGGTGGTAGCAGAGTATGATGACAGCAAGCCCCAAACAATTCACTGACATCCTCTATTATTAACACCCTCCATGCATATGTGGTTCTCTAAGTGAAAAGATTTAGTTCTCAATCCTTTTACCTCAAGAGTGTTGGGGAGAGAGGAAATATTCAACAGGAAATGTTTTCTTTTTTTGAAGATCATGCCATTTTCTGGTAACCAATAGGTACCAGTTCTCTTAAAAAAATAAAAAAATATAAACAAATAAATTAATTAATTACTGTTGTCTAGTTCTTCAACAGAAAATGCTGACTTTCTGGAATCTCTTTCTGGATTGACACTTACACTGTGGGGTTAATAAATTCCTTTCTTTTTGTACTGTCTAAGGTAAAAAGAAATAACCATTTTATTATCCCTTACCTTGTAATTCTTAGTAAGACTCCATTTTAAAAATAATTTTTTTTGGAAAGGAAAAAATTAATAAAATTTTTTTTGGGGGGGCATTATTTTAGAAGCAGTCTTTAACCCCAAATTATAATTCATCTAAGAGATTTTTAAAAGACCACTTCAAACTTCCATTCCACCTTCCACTATCAGTTACTAAGTCAGATGTTTGACTACCTGACCTCATTTCACTGCTCCTGATCTTTAAAAAAATTATTTTTATTT